CTGACCAATATGGTGAAACCCTGTCTCTACTAAAAATACAAAAATTAGCCGGGCGTGGTGGCAGGCGCCTGTAGTTCTAGCCACTCTGGAGGCTGAGAAGGAGAATTGCTTGAACCTGGGAGGCAGAAGTTACAGTGAGGCGAGATTGTGCCACTACTAACTACACTCCAGCCTGGGTGACAGAGATTCCATCTCAAAAAAAAAAAAAAGCACACACGAATGGGTGCCAGGTACAGTGGCATGTGCCTGTAGTCCCAACTAATTAGGAAGCTGAGGTAAGAGGACCACTTGAGCCCAGAAGATTGAGGCTAGCCTGGACAACATAGCAAAACGCTGTATTAAAAAAAAAAAAAAAAGGCCGGGCATGGTGGATGACACCTGTAATCCCAGCACTCTGGGAGGCTGAGGCAGATGATCACCTGAGGTCGTTAGAGACCAGCCTTGCCAACATGGTGAAACCCCATCTCTACTAAAAATACAAAAAAAAAAAAAATTAGCCAGGCATGGTGTCAGGCACCTGGAATCCCAGTTACTCAGCAGGCTGAGGCAGGAGAGTTGCTTGAACCCAGGAGGCAGAGGTTGCAGTGAGCCAAGATCACACCGCTGCACTCCAGCCTGAGTGACAAGAGGGAAAGTCTCAAAAAGAAAAAAATAATTAAATTTTAAAAAGGCAAATGAGTGACCTTTCACCTCACCTATGACAATTACGTAAAAATGGTCAAGAAAATCAAGGACGCCCTCCTTCTATCACATTCAAACCAAAGCAAAGTCTTTCGGATTCTCATTTACAAGTTTCAAAGAAAGATAAGCTCCAATCTTTAGTCTAAGGATATCCCCTACACTTCATTTACCAGCTAAAAAGTACTGTGTTTTAGCTTAATCTCTCACATTTCAGGGAAAGGATAAGCCTTCCACGAGACCAAGAGTAGGGATGCTCCAGAGTTTCTTCCACAACTGCCTACTCAAACAAAACATTTTCCCTCACCTTGGCTTAGAAGTTATTTCCCTTACAGTAAAATCCAAAGATACAGACATTCAAGGGTCTACCTGCCTTACAACCCACACATTGTTCTTCCCAAAGCAAAATGTCAGAGTCAGAATGTACTAAGGTTTTAAATCCTAAATAAAACCCTGTTCGGACCTAGAATACTAAGACATGTACTAACTGCATTCTGCAACTCACAAATAATTTCTCCTTATTCCTCTCAAATCCAAGAGCCAGAATTGAAAGTACACACAGAGAAATTCCTGTGTTTTAACAACAAGACCAGAGGTTAAAATAACTGGTCACAGGTGACCTCAGAACCAAAATAGAAGAAATAATCTGAGCACTTAAAACAATCCCGGTACAGTACTCTACGCAAGCCACAGCCAAGAGAAATACATATACACATAAAATGCCACCCCTTCAGATCACAAGGTCAGGAGATGGAAACCATCCTGGCGAACATGGTGAAACCCTGTCTCTACTAAAAATACAAAAAATTAGCCGGGTGTGGTGGCAGACGCCTGTAATCCCAGCTACTCGAGAGGCTGAGGCATGGGACTCTCCTGAACCTGGGAGGCGGAGGTTACAGTGAGCCACGATCGCGCCACTGCACTCCAGCCTGGTGACAGAGCAAGACTCCGTCTTAAAAAAAAAAAAAAGAAAATACTGCCCCTTTTCCCCCAGAGCCCAAAAGATAATGCCTACCGTCCTAGGTTGCTCAGACCTAAAAATGTGTACACATAAGAGTACATACAGAAGGGTTAAAGAAATTAAGGACTTCACTGCCAAGGAAGAAGTGTCTGGCCAGGTGCGGTGGCTCACACGTGTAATCTCAGCACTCTGGGAGGCCGAGGCGGATGGATCACCTGAGGTCAGGAGTTTGAGACCAGCCTGACCAACATGGTGAAACCCCATCTCTATTAAAAATACAAAATTAGCCGGGCATGGTGGTGCACGCCTGAGGCTGAGGCAAGAGAATCGCTTGAACCCGAGAGGCAGAGGTTGTAGTGAGCTGAGATCGCGCTATTGTACTCCAGCCTGGGCAACAAAAGCAAAACTCCTTCTCAAACAAAAACAAAAACAAAAAAGGTGTCCAGAGGTTGCTTCAGCTTCTCCAAGCCTAAAACCTCTGAGTTCAGCTACCCGGCTATTCCGAAGCTCAGAGATGCCCTGGAACTTAACTTCCTTTTCCTGTCTGACTTCACAAAAGGTCCCAGAAGGAGTCACGTGATTTTTCAGGGTAAAAGCCGAGAGATCCCTAATACTCACCTGTCTCAAACTGAAGAGGAAAAATAAGAACCCTCCTTAAGCACACAGGTAAGACACACACACAAGGCAGAAGGCAAATAAACATACCCCTCAACTCTGAAGAAAGGATCAGAAGAGAAACGATCTTTGCGTCAGCTCTGTCTGTTTGTCTCTCTCAGTACCAAGGGCAGGGACTCTGGCAAGACCCCGCCCTCCCCCCAACTCCAAAGCAGGGTGGGCGGGAGGCAGCCTGAGGAGTTCCCGTTCCCGCGCGAAGCTCAGAGACCAAAGGACTCCCTATTGTGGGTCCACGGATGGTGACGGGAACCCGTCCCGCTCGAACTGAAGAGCAAGCCGAGGGCTCACTAGGCCCTCACCGCGGCCACCGCCGCCATGGAGCCGACGGCTGTCACAGAAGGACTCCCCCAGGGAAGAAGGAGGGTGGCCCCAGCCCAGAGCCGACCTAAAGAGCATTAATGCCTCACACTGTGTGGGAGGCGAGGGTCCCGGAGCCTTACCTCGGACACTTCGTCCTCGTCACTACCAGAGGCACCACCTCCACCCCCGGTCCTCAGCACTGCAGCCGCCAACTTGAAATCCAGCGCCGAGTCCCCTCCGCCTGCACCGCCGCCGCCGCCGACTCCCGGCGCCGGCCCGGCCTCCCCAAAGAGCCTCACGGTGCGGATCCCCAGACCGACCCCTCCCGGCGGAGGCGGCTCCGAGGCCCCAGCTGGGGCGGATCGCGGAGCCACAGCGTCCAGGTCCTCCTCAAAGGAGGTGCCGCCGCCTCCGCCATCAGTCAGCATGGTTCGCACGCGGAGCCGGTGCCGAGCCACTCGCGGCCACCGCCGCCGCTGATTCCCGAGAACTAGAAGAGCAGCAGGAGGAAGAAGCGTCTCCTTTACCCCGTCCCAGCAGCGCCACTAACTTCTCACTGCCTAACCTGCTGCCTCCCGCCCCCTCGACTCGCCACTGGCTGCAACTTCCTGACGGCTGCAGATCATTGGCCAAAGTGACCCGTCGCTCAGGCTCTTCGTCACGCGCCGCTCGCTGGCTCGCTGCCGCCAAGCTGCGTTGACCCGCGCAGGCCTAGGCGGTTGCTAACACCCGCCTCCCACCCCTCACGAGCCGACTTCCGGTCTTTTCCTATGTCTATTGGCCAAACCCTCTGATTATCACGTCACGACCTTAAAGTGGATTAGTTGGCCTTGTGATCAGTCACAGTGACCCCAAACAATGGGAGAATTCATTGGCGCCATAAGTGTCGGTCACTTCGTCGCGGGACGTCGCGCGGTACAATTGGTCAGTGAGAGTACCATTTATCCCGCCCTCATCTGAGGTGACGGGAAAGGGCCGGGAAATTTCCACTTCTGAATAAAATGACTGCTGAAGTGACGACCCGCAAGAATTGGTCAAATTTGGAGTAGACTTCACCCTACGCTTGGTGAAACGTGTATGTCAAGGATGCAAGAGGCGCAGAAGTAACGCGGCTCCTACCTGTCGGTCTCCACTGGGCGCGGAGACTACGGCCAGAGAGTAGCTGTACCGGGATTGGGGAAACGAAGCCATCAGTCTTAGCGAGGCTCCACCTTCCTGCCATTGCCGGGTTGGAGGAGCAAAGCGTCAGTCACTAGAGCGGTCACCACCTCTGGGACAGGTGAAGATGCGTAGTCTGTTCGCCTCTGGCTGTTTGGGGGTGGAACAGGGGACAGGGAGCGGTGAGGGGACAGTCGAGGAGCAGGGCCGATCCCGCTTCGCGCCTCCCGCCTTTCCGAGTTGAGCCCAGCGCGCGGGTCTGAGGAGATCGGGGAGTTGCTTGGGATGGCCGCCTTGAGGCGACTCGACCCGCCCGCGTGCCTGGACGTGGCCACGCGCCGCAGTTATACAGCCTTCAGGCGGGATCGCCCCGCGGGGCTGCGTTCTCCTGCTTGCGGACAACTATGGGGCTGAGGGCTGGACAGCGCCTTGCCTCAGTACCAGGAACTGTCCCACGTAGGAAGGTGGGAATGCTGCGAACAGCGCGCGGAATCCGACCTCAGGGTGGAACCTGGTGGTGAAGAGTGCGTGCTCCGGGGCAGTTTCAAGTTCTGATTGCTGCCACTTATTTGCTAGCTGACTTCAGCGCGTTTGCTGTTTTATTTTTGTGACTTTCAACTCGCTCCTCTGTGTAATGGGAGTAATAGTACCTTCCTCGTTGCGATGTTATGAATAAATTAGATGATAACATGGCGCTTAGCAAAGTCCCAAACTTACAGAAAAGACTCACTTTTGCTAGTTATTGCCTCCTTTTCCTTCAGGAACTCTCTGCTCGCCCCTGGGTTCTGCCAGCGCAAGTAATTCTAGTTCTAATCAGATCTGTATGGTGCAAAACAAGGCTAGCTGCGGTGGTCTTCCCTCTTCTAAGCTCTCCTTCCTCCCTCCCTATATCCATCTCTCTTTTCTTTATCTTCTTTGTCAATAAAGAGGGGGTTTTAAAAATGCCCAGGTTCTATACCGGGTGCGGTGGCTTACGCCTGTAATACCAGCACTTTGGGAGGCGGAGATGGGCGGATCACTTGAGGTCAGGAGTTCGAGACTAGCCTGGCCAACATGGTGAAAGCTTGCCTCTACTACAAGCGCAAAAATTAGCCGGACGTGGTGGTGCGTGCCTGTAATCCCAGCTACTCAGAACAAAGGGCTACTGGAGACCACAGTGCAGAAGGTGGCCCGAGTGAAGGCCCCCAACAAGTCTCTGCCCTCAGCCGTGTACTGCATCGAGGATAAGATGGCCATCGATGACAAGTACAGCCGGCGGGAGGAGTACCGAGGCTTCACCCAGGACTTCAAGGAGAAGGATGGCTACAAACCCGATGTTAAAATTGAGTACGTGGATGAGACAGGCCGGAAACTCACACCCAAGGAGGCCTTCCGGCAGCTGTCCCACCGTTTCCACGGCAAGGGCTCAGGCAAGATGAAGACAGAGCGGCGGATGAAGAAGCTGGACGAGGAGGCGCTCCTGAAGAAGTTGAGCTCCAGTGACACGCCCTTGGGCACCGTGGCTTTGCTCCAGGAGAAGCAGAAGGCCCAGAAGACCCCCTACATTGTGCTCAGCGGCAGCGGCAAGAGCATGAATGCGAACACCATCACAAAGTGACGGCGTCTTCCACCCCCCACCCCACCTCAACCTTGGTATTAAATAAAGCTCCCTCCTTATTTTTTCAAAAAAAAAAAAGGGGGAGGCTGAGGCAGGAGAATCGCTTGAACCCAGGTGGCAGAGGTTGCAGTGAGCCGAGATCATGCCACTACACTCCAAATTGAGCAACAGAGCAAGACTGTGTCTCAAAAAAAAAATTAGCCCAGCGTGCCCAGCATGGTGGTGTACGCCTGCAATCCCAGCAACTCGGGAGGCTGAGGTGGGAGGATCGCTTGAGCCTGGAATGCGGAGGTTGCAATGAGCTGAAATTGTGCCACTGAACTCCAGCTTGAGCAACAAAGCAGTGTCCTGTCTCAAAAAAAAAAAAAAAAAAAAAAGCTTAGTTTCAACTAATCCTTTGATCAGAGACCACCAAAAAAGGAAAAAAAGAAGTCTGGTGGTTTGTATGGAAAATGTCCTATGACCCAGAGAATGTCCATATGATAACAGAATTTGGCACCAAAAAAAATTGGACAGGTACATTGGCTCATGCCTTTAATCCCAGCACTTTGGGAGGCCAAGGCGGTAGGATCACAAGTTCAGGAGATTGAAACCATCCTGGCCAACATGGTAAAACCCCATCTCTACTAAAAATAAAAAAATTAGCTGGGTGTGGTGGCGTGTGCCTATAATACCAGCTACTCAAGAGGCTGAGGCACGAGGATCACTTGAACCCAGGAGGCGGAGGTTGCAGTGAGCTGAGATGGTGCCACTGCACTCCATCCTGGTGACAGAGCGAGACTCTGTCTCAAAAAATAAAAATAATAAAAAATTGTCATTTTTCTTCTCTTTTACAGCTTTAACAAGGGCTTTATACATCTCGATTGTGCAATATTTAATATTTCATTATCCTTAAACTGGGAGCTGAAAATTCCATAAGAATATAATGATTTTTTAAATGATTTTAAAAACTGATTCTTCCAAACATTTATTTTAAAAACATTTTGAAGATCAGAAACATTTCTTTGGCTTGGTAATTGCTCATTTTGACATTTCACATGTAAAGGTTAGTGTTTTCAATGAGCAGAAAATGTTAAATTAAATTTCTTCCTAGACAATAATTAAGTTGTAGAAAATGTTAAAAAAAAAAAAAAGTCTTGTACCTATTCTAGAGAACTATTTTGATGTAAATGCTTTGTACACTGGCTTTAGTTAGCATTTGTGAAATTCAATTAGCCTATATCGTCAGTGCTGTGAAGTTTTCAAGGCATGTGTGACTAGGTCACAACCCAAACTAATAACACCAACAAAAGAAACCTAGAACTGCCCAACCCACTTCAAAGCTGGATTATCCAGAATTGGTATGGATACATACCAATTAGGCAAAAACAGGTATTGACTGGTACAGCATTACAAAGGAACTACTTGTCATTCTTACTACTGATACAAAAATAATTTCTGATGCAACTCCCTGAACAAACTCATTAAATTCTTTAAACAAATTCAGTGACTCTCAAGGACCCAGGGAAAGGAAATCTGGATATATACATTTTTCTCAATTTATTTGAGAGAAAAGAAAGTACTCTTTATTCAGTGCCTAGCAACCAACCCTGAGTATAGCTAAAGAAATGTGATTTAGCAATAATCTTTGTTTCACCAGGACCTTTACCTGAGATACTTGTCAGTAGTTTGTCAGTATGGGAATTAGGAATTCCAAGTCTCCTAGATTTTGGGGACTGCTATATAGGTCTCTACTAAATGTGATTTAATGGCTGGGTGCAGTGGCTCATACCTGTAATCCCAGCACTTTGGGAGGCCAAGGCAGGTAGATCACCTGAGGTCAGGAGTTCAAGACCAGCCTGGCCAACATGATGAAACCCCATGTCTACTAAAAATACAAAAAATTAGTCAGGTGTGGTGATAGGGGCCTGTAATCCCAGCTACTCGTGAGGCTTAGGCAGGATAATCGCTTGCACCTGGGAGGCAGAGGCTGCAGTGAGCCGAGATCACATAATGGCACTTCAGCCTGGGAAACAAGAGTGAAATTCTGTCTCAAAAGTGATTTAATAGTGCCATATATACTACTTTCCTATGGTTTTAAAATTTGAAAACTCGGGCCGGGCGCGGTGGCTCACGCCTGTAATCCCAGCACTTTGGGAGGCTGAGGTGGGTGGATCACGAGGTCAAGAGATCGAGACCATCCTGGTCAACATGGTGAAACCCCGTCTCTACTAAAAATACAAAAAATTAGCTGGGCCTGGTGGCATGTGCCTGTAATCCCAGCAACTCAGGAGGCTGAGGCAGGAGAATTGCCTGAACCCAAGAGGCGGAGGTTGCAGTGAGCTGAGATCGCACCATTGCTCCCCAGCCTGGGTAACAAGAGCGAAACTCCATCTCAATTTAAATAAATAAATAAATAAAATTTGAAAACTCAGGCCAGGTGTGGTGGCTCAGGCCTGTAATCCCAGCACTTTGGGAGGCCAAGGTGGGCAGATCACTTGAGGTCAGGAGTTCAAGACCAGCCTGGCCAACATGGTGAAACCCCATCTCTACTAAAAACACAAAAAATTAGTCAGGTGTGGTGATAGGGGCCTGTAATCCCAGCTACTCATGAGGCTTAGGCAGGATAATCGCTTGCACCTGGGAGGCAGAGGTTGCAGTGAGCTGAGATCACATAATAGCACTTCAGCCTGGGCAACAAGAGTGAAACTCTGTCTCAAAAGTGATTTAATAGTGCCATATATACTACATTCCTATGGTTTTAAATTTGAAAACTCAGGCCAGGTGTGGTGGCTCAGGCCTCTAATCCCAGCACTTTGGGAGGTCAAGGTGGACAGATCACTTGAGGTCAGGAGTTCAAGACCAGCCTAACATGGTGCAACCCCATCTCTACTAAAAATACAAAAATTAGCTGGGGGTGTTGGTGCACACCTGTAATCCCAGCTACTCAGGAGGCTGAAGCAGGAGAATCACCAGGCAGAGGCTGCAGTGAGCCAAGATCACACCACTGCACTCCAGCCTAGGCAACAGAGCGAGACTCTGCCTCAAATAAATAAATACAAAAATCCCTCAGGCGTGATGGTGCCGGCCTGCAATCCCAGCTACTAGGAGGCTGAAGCAGGAGAATCACTCGAACGGGGACATGGAGGTTGCAGTGAGCCATGATCATGCCACCGCACTCCAGCCTAGGCGACAGAAAAAGACTCCATCTCAAAAAAGAAAAAAAAATCACACTCAGTGTATTCAATGTAAAATATCAATAAGTATTATTGTGAGTTAGTGTGTAATCTTGATTTTGATAAACCTTAAGATGGTATTTACTACTAAAGTAATACACTGATTTTTCAAAATCTGGATGACTTGGCTGCCCCAAATTTTACTTTAAAATGTGTTTATTAGAATATAATGTCTTCCCACAGAAATGCAGTGAAAATTTGCTCAGTGGCAGTATCATAGCCAGAGGCATGATTATTACTAATTGATATTAGTAATCCGATACCCTGCCATGATGACTTGAAATATAGTCAGCATTGGCAATTTCTGAGTCTCTATGGAATAAAGCAAAAAAGAAAAAAAAAAGATAGTGGGAATATTTAGTCTACTTATAATGTGTTTCAAAGCACTCTGTTTTGACCATCTTTCAGATTGAGAAGGAGAAAAAAAAAATAGAAACTGTATAGCAAAAGGATTTTTATTTTGTTATTTTATTTTTTGAGGCAGGGTCTCACTCTCACCGGGGTGGGAGTGCAGTGGTGCCATCACCTGCTCACTCCAGCCTCAACCTCTCTGGCTCAAGTGATCCTCCCACCTTAGCTTCCCAAACAGCTGCGACCACAGGAGTGGGGCACCATGCCTGGCTATTTTTTTTTTCTTAGTTATTTGTGGAGACGGGGTCTCCCTATGTTGCTCAGGCTGCTGGCCTCTAACCCCTGGGCTCAAGCAGTCCTCCCACCTTGGCCTCCCACAGTGCTGTAATTATAGGTGTGAGCCACTGCGCCCAGCTAGGCCAAGGGTTTCTAAAACTTCTGAGATAATAAGAGGCTTCAAATCCCATGAGCCTGACAAACTAAATTACAGACACAGGGGCTTTAGCTACATGAAGTTCTTTCACATGCAACTTGCATTTTCTCAAGACATTTAATTTTTATATGCCAGTCCATCTCAGTTCAGCCCATCTATATAAGGAAAGAAGTAAACCAACATATTTGTTGCACTTGGAGGTCATTTAACCTTTATAATGATCCTATTCAGATTTTACCCATTTTATAGATGAGAAAGTTGAAACTTCAAAATTATTAAATAACTTGCCCAAGGTTATAAGGCCAGTATATAGAAAAGCTGGGATTTGAATTTATTGCGGCTTGATCCCAAAACCCACACTCTTTCCACACTCTATCACATTGCTTTATAGCACCCTCCAAGGCAGAGGAAATTCATCAATCAGGTAAACATGCTTCAACCATTATATCCTTCTGATAAACCTGCTAATCAGCACCCTAGGTGAAGTTATCCCTGACTACCATCAAATATATCTTCCTCCCTTATAATAGTTGGAAACATTTAAAACTTGTCTTCTGGTTTCTCCAACTATATTGTCAGTTTCTTAGACCATGTAATTTCACCCTAAAAAATCTAATGGTTTGCAGAAATTAGCCAGATATGGTGGTGGGTGCCTGTAATCCCAGCTACTCGGAAGGCTAAGGCAGGAGAATTGCTTGAGCCCAGGAGATGGAGGTTGCAGTCAGCAGAGATCATGCCACTGCACTCTAGCCTAGGCAACAGAGTGAGACTGTGTCTCAAAGAAAAAAAAAAAAAAAAAAAAGAATAGTTAATACATTCACATGGTTCAGGACAAAACAATTTGACACAGCAGGCGTATGGAAAAAAAGAATAAAATGAATATAAAATGAGGAAAAGGGTCTTTTTACTTTGCCCACTAAATACCTAGACCCCCTCTCATATACAAACCATGTTACTAGGTTTTTAAATATTCTTCTCAGGCCAGGAGCAGTGGCTCACACTTGTAATCCCAGCACTTTGAGAGGCCAACACAGGAGGATTGCTTGAGCCCAAAAGTTTGAGATCAGCCTGGGCAAAATACCAAGACCCCCATCTTTACAAAACTGAAAATAAATACATAAATTTGGTTCAATAGGCCACCCACCATAGTTATTGAAGAGCAAAATTATCAAGATAAAAATTGTTAGAGGACGATTACAAACTTTTTTTGTTTTACCTGAATTGTGTAGATTGGGCTAGAACAAGGAGATACTGGCATGTAGGAAACAAGCAGTCTTGCTGCAGCTATTTGCCCAGGTGTGAGATAATGAAGACCTGGCTCACACCTGTAATCCCAGCACTTCGGGGGAACAAGCAGGAGGATCACTTGAGCCCAGGAGACTGAGACCAGACTAGGAAACAATGTAAGACTCCCTATCTCTACCAAAAATTAAAAAAAAAAAAAAAAAAAAGCCAAGCATGGAGGTGTGTACCTGTAGTCCCAGTTACTTAGGAGGTGAGGTTGGAGGATTGCTTGAGCCCAGGAGGTCAAGGCTGCAGTGAACTATGATTGTACCACTACTCGCCAGCCTGGAGTGAGACTTTGTCTCGACAACAACAATAACAACAAAAAGAATCAGTATAACCTTTGCACCTGATTATGTGGGAAACAAAAGAGTATAGGAACAAAAGTTACTCCAGATTTATACACACTTTCTGAAGATAAATGTGACATTATGCATCAAGATCCTTTCTTTAAAGTTTTATTTCCACCTATTAGAATGGCTAAACTCCAAATAAGTGGCAATACCAATTACTGGCAAGAAGGCAGAGCA